GTTTTGGTTTTATATCTTTAAAACCCTTTTCCTTTCGCTTTTGTGTTTCCCCCTTTTTGGGGGGGGGAGCCCTTTCATTTTTGGGAAATTTCAATTTTTTTTTTTTTTTTTTTTTTTAAGGGGGGGGTTTCCCGGGCGCCCCCCCCCCAGAATTCCCCACCCCCCCTTGGAAAAAATTTCTTTCCCCCCGGGGCCGGGGGGGTTCCTGGGATGCCCCGAACCCCGGGGCCCGGGAAACTTAGGGGAAAGGGGGGGGGGTGGGGGGGCATCCCGGGGGATTTTTTTTGGGGGGGGTTGGGGGGGGGGGGGGCACTCGGAGGGCATTCGTTTGGTGGAAGGTCGTGGGGTGGGGGAGGGGAGCGAACTCATGCTAATTTTCGTTTAGCTGCCATGTATCTGGCCTTCGACGAGTTTTTTTTTTTTGCAAATGGAGCACGTGTGTTTCCGTATGTCTCCTCGGAGAGGTGATTGATTTTTCCGACGTTTGGGACGAGCTTTGCGATTCCACGTGGCACCAGCGGGGTGGTACAGGGACGTAGAATACGGCGATATTCGATGGCTGCTATCGTGGCACGTACAGCAGCGCGTTTTCTCCGTTGAAATATTTTTTCAGCGATAGTACATCTCGGTTGGGATGAACCACATCCCATGTGTGGGAGGGTACCTATCTGAACGGCGTGGCGAGAGAGACTGCGGTACGCCGCTTATCTTACTGCACCCTCCCCCCCCCCCGTGCTAATGCGCGCAGCGGTGAGGTCACAAGAGTAGCGGGACGCGGGAAGGAACACGGCAGACACGATGGATGTTGAACACGGACCCGATTACACAACTTATATGGAGGGTCCCGAGCGCGCGCTGGTCGCTTCCCCAATGCTTGCGCCGCGTCCCGTCCCGTCCATTTTCTAAACTGCCGCCGCTACTGCGTTAGGCGGCTGCTGCTGTCCTTCCGTTGCTTCACGCGCTCTGTAGCTCTCACACGTTACCCGACTTTGCTACAGCCCCTGCGTGGACTCGATCACGGAATGACATCCCCACCTATAGATACAATAATAAATCCTCACACCGTGACCCTGGGTTTCCGATAGAAAATGAAGCCAAATTCTAATTCGACTGTTACAAAATAAACACCAGTTTATTCTATCTGCTCTTCGAACAAACCTTCCTATTTTTCCGACGTTTGGGACGAGCTTTGCGATTCCACGTGGCACCAGCGGGGTGGTATAGGGACGTAGAATACGGCGATATTCGATATTCGAACGTCGTGAATTGCGGGGGGGGGGGTTGATTGCTATACAGGGCGGTTTGGTGCAGGGGGCACGTAGATGTAGAGGGGGTCAGATGGCTTCGGGGTCTTCGGGGTGTGTAAGGTTCGCTTCCCTCTTCCCTCTCTCGCCCATGGCAACGAAAAGGCAAGGACAGAGTCTCGAACGATCGATGGCACTATCGGCGTCGTGCTGCACGTCCATGCTTGCCGGTTGAGAGGCTCAACAGACTCGGACGGGTGTGTGTGTGCGCGCTGCGACCATTGTATTGTTCCCACCGAAACATGTCAATTCAATTGCACCCCGTGTCGCGGCCGGCTTGTACGAATCCCCCCCCCCCCCTTTTTGTTCCGTGTCGTGCAGAACGGACGTGGGTAGAGGAATCGGGGGCGGGGACGGCGTAGAGTCGGACGGCGACGAAGGCAGCGGCAACACCGCCAAGAGGAAGCGCAGCAAGCACAGGCGCGACAGCAGCGGCGGCGGCGGCGGCGGCGGCGGGCTGCCGCGCCTCTCCTCGCCCCCGGCTTCCCCGAACGCCGACATCGACATGGACAACGGCTTGAGCGAGCCCCGATTTTCTGCCACTAACGAAGACGACGACGACGACAATGACGGCGACGACGACGATGACATGGAGATTGAGGAGGAAGAGGAAGCAGAGGAGGCCAAGGAAGTAAAACCGTCTCGGCACTCTGCGCCCCCCCCCGGCGGCGGCGGCGGCGGGGGTGGCCGACCGGTGACTCCTCCCCCAGAGGTGAGGAGAAGTCTTTCTAGAGATAAATCGGGGTTGGCATTTGGAGAGGGGGGGAGGGGGAGGGGGGGGGGGGGGGTTAAAA